TATTTGAATTTTTAAAATCTCAATTTAAAAATTAGTCCATTTTAACACATTATTTAACTTTTAATTTTAGTCAAGTTATTATATTAACTTTTGTTTCTTTTAGAAATTTTTGAGTGGCATAGTCATTTTTCTTTTTCTTGAAGAGATACATTGATATTTAATATTGGATGAGATGGAAATGAAATTTGTTTAATTCAGATTAACTAACTTCCTCTGTAACTTTGGGAAAGATATAACAACTTCAGAGATTTAGTATTCTAACATACACAAACTAGTTTGCCAGAAGGCAATAGAAGAGGTTTGATAGAAGGCAAATTAAAGAGGTGGGTTTTTTTTTTTTTTGCTTACTTATAAAAATCTGGAACTATTTTTTAAAAACATTATTTTATTTGATTTCATAAAATAGTTTAAAGGCAAGCAGATGTAGGGGTTATCCTTTTTATTAGTGGGAAAAGCTGGGCTCCAGTGTCAAACCAATAGAGACCACCACTCTGTAATCTTGGGCAATTTTTTTTTTTACAGTTCTGATCCTTGGTTTCTACGTCTGAAAAGTGGTTTTGGTAACAGCTAGTATTTATTGACATGTGCCAGGCATTGTGCCAAACACTTTATTACTTTAGATGCATTTAAAATTTAGTTCCTTTAATAACTTTTCTTGATCAAGGTAACTTGATCAAGGTCACATAACTGAATTCAGTGTTAAAAGGACTAGAGATGATATATATAAGCCATGTCAAACTTTGAGGAAGTGTCCATTGAGACACTGTGTATCACTATTGAAGCTGTTATAAAAGAAACCAAGTACTGCTTTCTCCTCATTTCACAGGTGAGGAGCTGGAGTGCAGAAAAGGAGGCAGGTTGGTTAGACTTGATTTGTAAATAATCTGTGAGCTGCAGATTAAATCCTACTTCAGTCTGTTCCCCAATTCTGATTCCAGAATTCTCAAGTGAAATTTCAAGATTATAACAACTTAAAGACAGGCAACCATGTCATGTAATTTTTTTTTTATATTCTGTACCTCTTAGTATCATATAGATTTGAGAAAATAGTATGCATTTATATATACTTACTGATGGTTATGAATTTCTCTTATAAATTTTTATTTATAAATAAAAAATGATCATTTTTTTTCTAAAGGCTAATTCTTTCTATTTTTCTTTTTAAAAGTTGCCATTGAAGGGTAATTTTAGAACTTTCATTCTAAGAGTCTTTTGTCTTTGTGCTGGTATTAAAAAAAAAGAAAGAGAGAGAAAGAAAGCTATAGAGAAGGCTGACCTCTCAAGAATTTTTGTGTGGGGAATTACTAAGGCATGAAAGTCCATAAACCATTTTTCTCCGTTTTATTTTTTATGTGTTTTCAACAAGCTGTACTTCTAGCTAGTAAAAGTTGGCAATTTTTTTATACCAGGCCAAATTCCATTCTCATAAACTCAGAGTTCATTGGACATAATGAAGTCTTAATTCAACCCTAAGTTGAGTGTATTTTAATAAATATTATCTATTCTATTTGGGGCTCAGTTTACCTCAAAAAATTTTTTTAGGAATAACAAATTTTATAACAAATCCTATGATGTATATCTTTGTTTTTAAAAATAGCATGTGCAGTTTTATTCTGATCATAACAGTAATACATCTGTGAATGATGCTGACATCCCAATTTACACTTTTTTGTTAGAATATAATTCTGTGATATTTTGTCAAATAATCAAGTATTTAAATTTGGAGCAAATATCTTCTTTCCTAGAGACTTAAAATTTCTGTGTTTTTATCACAGGAATAATTTGTAAACTTGTTTATTTACAAGTAGCAGTTTAAAAGTTGGGAGAATAGGCTGTCAAATGGATAAGAATGAGATGTTTTTTCTTCCTTCATTATCTTCCTGTGCTTGATAAGGAGTTTTTTTTCTTTCATATGCTCTTTAGAGCTATGATTCTTTGGTCTACTCTGAATCTTTCTTTTTGTTCACTGATGTATCCAAGTGCTTAGCTCATGTAGGTCTCACATATTTGCTGAATGAGAGAATAAAGGTTCTCTGTTCTGATCTGGGCATCTTTAGTGTGCAACTTGGTTTTTTATTTTCCAAATACATTGTGAGGTTTAGCCATTATCCACCAGAATTTGTCTCAACCACTGGACCCTGTATTGTAGTATGATATTATTTATAGTGATAACTATGCTTTTGTGATGATGAGAGAGAAAGAACTTACAGACAGAAAACAATGTAGTCCAGAAAGGCAGCTCAGTGGGGACAGGAAGTAGTTTAGTGTCTGCTTAGAGCCTGGGTGAGAACAGAGAATGACTGCAGATGGGCAAAAGGGGTCTTTTTTGGGTGAAGGAAATGTCCTAAAATTGAATTGTGGTGATCATTGTACAGTTCAGTGAATTTATTTAAAAATTATTAAATTTTTAAGAAATGAATGACTTATGGTATATAAACTGTACCTCTGTAAAACTGTTAAAAAAATAAAACCAGTTTTGGAGTTTAAATTTTTTTCATTTTTTTGCTAATTGGAAAACTAGAATTATGTAATTATTTTCTTTATTTCTTACTGTGGATGTGACTTATTGCTATAGATAAATAACTAATTTACTTAAAACCAATTTTTCTGCAAAGTATTTCAGGACAGAAAAGTGTAAACTTTGTTTCTAGCAAAGTATGTGCTTTCTTTTGTGATATCAGCTTGGAATATATAAGGCTCTTTCACAAAGCATCTTGTTTCATCTAATTTCCTTACCCTCTTTTATGGACAGTTTGAATTATTTTCAAAGCTATGAAGAAGAGTAGGCCTAAATTACTCCATGTTGTTGATAGTTTGTTTACACTAGGTTATAAAGTTGGAACACACTGTTTTTTTCCATTTCTTTTCTAAAAGATTGGTATAATTTACCTATATAGTTTTGTTCTCATTTTTAGAAACAAATTATTTATGTGCCCTCTTCAGTGTATTTATTCTGTGTCTTTTTTCTCTTTTTTTTGATTAAGAGATTATTTATATTTTAAAATTACTTGTTGGGAGAAAAACGTCCATAAAACTGGTATTCTTAGGCAGATTTTTATATATTCTTTTTTCAATTTTATCAAGTAGAATTGTTACAGTTTGACTGCACATATACAATATATTGCATCTAAATATGTATACACAACATACTGCACATTTTTTAAAGTTTACATGTATGTACTGTTCAGCGGTTCTAAGACGTTTAGAGCTTTAGCTTTTTAAACTTATATAGTTGTCAAAGGAATAAAGCTAATCACAAAATAAGAATTGATTCAAAAAGATACATACGCCCTGCTACTAACAGCAACATTATTTATAATTGCCAAGATATGGAAGCATCCCAAGTGCACATCAATAGATAAGTTGCAATGTATATATGTAATGGAATACAGCTCACCCATAAGAAAGAAAGATATTTTGCCATTTGCAGACTTTCTTTCACTTTTTTTTTTCCACTTCAAAAACCAGAATTTTACAACTGGCATAAACATTTCCATTGCATCAAAAACAACAAAATATCTAGAAATAAACTTACCCAAGGAGGTTACCTATACTCTGAAAACTGTGAAACATTGATAAAGGAAATTGAAGATGATGCAAAGAAATGGAAAGCAGATTTTTGTATATTCTTAAACATACTCTGTATGTGTGTCCTCTGAAGGAGTGTGGCCAATTTAAAAATTTGACTGTATCCTGAAAAATTATTTATAAAAGGTCTCTCACAAGTCTAATAAGGACCGACTTGTTTAAGGATGTATTTAAGGTTATTGAGATCAATTAACTCAAAAATCTGACAGTATCAAGCACTGGTGGAGATCTGAGGACCTAGAGACATTATTGTAATTAAAAAGCACTTGGAATTTAAGAATTAATTGAGGTGACTTGATTTCTCATAGTTAATCATCATGCCTTTATTCTGTGACTTGAAACTATTAGATGATGATAATAGTTGTTATTATTACTGTTATAATTCGTAGGTAAGTAGATAGAGCTTAATGTGTATCAGACACTGTTATAAAGACTTTACTTATAGTTCATTTAATTCTCACAATAGTCCTAAGATGTAAAGACCACTACCATCCTCATTTAACAGATGAGGAAAATAAAGTCACATAGAGCTCACCCAAGAACACAAAGAACCCAGCAGACATTGTTGCTCTTAACGACTATACTGTAATGAAAGGACTGCTTTCCTTTTCTTTTTCTTTCATCAAAATAAAAATCTTTATTTTGAAAGAGTTTAAAAATACTTATTATTAGGAAATAATTTACTTAATAAATTATTAATAATTTATTAATAAATTAATAATATACTGCTAGAAGGAGAAATATATTCTTCCATTTCCCCCTTAATTTTTATTTCTTCTTATTCCCATTTGTTCTGTTCTTATGTTATTTTTATGAATCAGGGTTATTTCCAACAATTTACATAGTCTTAATTACTAATAATTGTTCATAGACTGCTAGGCTGTTAGTTCAAACAGTATTATTTGAATTTAGTCACAAAGTCTTTTATTGGGATTTTTTTTTAATGTGTAACGTGTTTGATAGTTTGGTCAGTTGTCGGTTTGGATTGGTCAAACATTTCTGTGGGAAATCTTCAAGCTTTGTTTGCAGCTTAAAAGATACAGAGTGTAAATCTATTTCATGTTTCTATCTACCTTTTGAAAAAGCTGTTTCATTATAACTTGAAGTGTGAACTATAATTTCACATAGGAATTCTTATTGTTGTTGAATAATTGATGATATAAGTATTAATATAAGTAAATAATAATGTTTTAGTAAATTGATCTTTGTTGAATTAAGCTCATGGTTTTATAATTTTAGTTGATAAATAAAACCCAAAAAAGATTATAAATGTTTTAACAAGCTTATTATACAATAAGTTATCTCTCACATTATGAATATATCTTGGGAGAAAAGTTCAAGGTATTGTTTTTTTCTTAAACCATTCATCCATTCATTCCCCTCTTTTGTTTTTATTTTACTTTATTTTTTAGGATTTTGGCCCCCAATAGTAATTATCAAGATGTTGAGACCCTCTATAACTTCCTAATCAAGTATGAGGTATGAGAAATATTTTTAAAATGCTTATCATATTTCCACTATTAAACACATTTTAATATAAACATGATAGGAGTTCTCAAATGTAATGGAATGCTATTTAGTTGGTACTTGCTTTAAATTCTTGAATGCCACGGAAGTCTGACAGTGACATTCAATTTTTTTCTTTCATTCTCTAAGTAAAAACCTCTAGAAAGAGTTCTATAATAATACACTTTCTCCAGCACAGAGTTGTTTCTCATCAGGGGTGCTGTGGGCATTTCGGACAGGTCATTTCTTTATTGTGTGGAACTTTGCAGGATGCTTTAACATCCGTGCTTTTCAGATACTAAATGCCAGCAGCTCCCCTAGTCATTGTGACAACCAAATATATCCTCCCACTGTACCCAGCTCACATACCCAGATGTCCCCTGGGGAGGAAGAACCACCTCCGGTTGAGAACCACTGATTACTGAAAAGGAAAGCTATAATTTGGTTTCCTCCATAGCAGCAGCATATACCCTGGAATTAGAGCTCTGGTGAGGCTCCAGTATACTCTGTAAATTAACCTGAAAGCTTTCCTTGTGTCAATCCAAGAAAAGTATTCTGTTAATCTTCAGTTTCTGTTTGCCTAAAGTTCTTTGCTCGTGTTCCCATACATTCTTTCTTTTTAAATGTCTGTGTGTTTAATTTTTAAAATGCTGAAATTAAGGAGTATGACATATATTCAGGTGTCATTTTTCTTATGGAGTCAAATGCCTTTAAATAATGTTTCTTCAGTTTTATTCCTGGTTGGCTCTTTATTTAACTTTTTTATGCCACATGTTACATTAAGAACCTAGTGGCTAAGAACACAGACTCTGAAGTCAAACTACTCGTGTTCAAATATTGGTTCTGCCACCTGTTAACTGTATGCTCTTAGAAGAGTTATTTAATTATCTTTGTCTCAGTTGCTTCATCTGTAAAATGGGAATAATGTAAGTAGATAAATTACAGTTATTCTTTAAAGACTAAGTACTTTAATATATATAAAGTGCTCCAAACAGTACCAGACACACAGTAAGTGTTCGATAAGTCTTACCTACTTTATTTAAGGAATGAATGGTGTTTATGTGTACTTAAAAAAAATTAGCCTTAATACTATTTAACCACTTTATGTGATTATTGAGAAGCTTTTCTCTTTTGAGATGATTCATATGATTATTTCACTATACTTTCTGAATTTCAAATTCAATAAAAATATACATTTGGAAACAATGGGACAACTTTAAAACCTCATAGCCTGGAAAAACCTGGTTTATAGATCTTTTTGGGGTTTAGTGCTTTCTATTGCTGAGAACATTGGGAGAAAATACCCAACATATTATTTATAAGAATAGGTGGATCTGAGTCTCAGATTTTTAGAGTTATTTCTCTTAGTAGAACTTCCTCCCCAGTACCAATTACTACATTGGATATATTTGTCTCACATAAAGGACCGTCTAAATTTTTTCAGATGTTTGGCTATTTTTATATTTAACCTCTGCCTTCTGTTCTTGATTTTTTTAAGAATTAAAAATAATGCAGCCATTTCTAGTATTTGGCATTCACTATAAATAGTACAGCTAAGAATTAATGACACCGATTTCATAATCAATTTGCAGTCACAACTCTAATGTTTACTGACAAAGACATCTTTCAGCTATCTGTTTTCTGGAAATTAAAATTGTGCACTTAAGCATAGGAATGATACTTAATAGTGGAATTTAAAGTGTCCCAATAGGAGTGATTAAAAATGTCTTGTTTCAAAATTAATGAATGTGATGAAATGGTACATTTCCAGCTAGAACCTGTGATGTAGTTCAAGAATTTGTGCTTCAGTTGTCCTTTGTTAGTGGTAAATGAACTGCCTACTTGATGCCATCTACTATAACCTGGAGCCATGTCGCACGTTATATACCCCAGCTGTGTTCTGGGATAAGTATCCAAATGTATGTATGTAGATTGTTTTTAGAACCAAAGATAAATCTAGATACTTTTGCCCCTAAAAATCTACTAATGGCTTAAGGAACTATCTTGTATTCATATTACATCAGGTTTAAAATCAGTACTTCAGCTGTTTTTTCTCAACAGTTGATTGAGAACAGATTATTCCTGTGATCTTCTGATCAAAGATCTGCAGGGTTGATTGTTGCCATTTGCTGGCCTGAGTTTGGATACATTAGAGGTCCTAGTATGCTGGAGCAATAGTGACAATACCAAAGGCCCTTGAGACCAGGGCAAAACACAGGAAGAGATAGGAGTTGGACTGGTTGATAATTGAACTCTAAATGTATATTTTAGAACATTTTTAGAAGATTCTTTTAATAAAAATTATAAAGTACCCAAAATTAACCATGTTATATAGTAATTTCATGAATCACTAAATATAATATTAAATATATAATTGAATAACATTAAATATATAAAAATAGATAATCCTAATTTTAAGTAAAAAATTAGGATTATATACATTTCAAATGTTATTATTTTAAAACTATGTGTTGTTAACCTTTAGTGAATGAAACATTTCCTGTACAAATATGGTGAATTTCTTAAGAAAATACTGAAGAAACTCATGGAACTTCGCAAATAAACAATACCCTAAACTCTGTAGAAGACTTTCATGATGTAAATCTTTAAAGTAGCATTAATTACATCAGGGTAAGAACATTTTTCTTCAGCAAAAAATGCATATGGTTAATAAGACCTTAAATATTTTTTAAAGTAAATTGAATAGTCTCTTTTCATGTCCCTTTGTTCATCAGAATTTCTGAAAATTTAGGCATTATTTCTTGAGTAATATGATAAAAAGAATTTCCCTTTATAAGCTTCCAGATTCTACCTTGCAAATAAGTAGAATATAGCCTAAATCAGTAGTAAATCTCAAGAAATACAGGATTCCGTCACCGTTCTCCACGTTAAGTTTCTGTGGTTGAAGGACTTTTATGTTTATAGTATTGTAAATTATGTCTCTGAATTATAATAGATATTTATGAACTTAAACATATTACTTTAAATATTTAGACTGATAGTCTGAAAAATATATTTCTTTAGAAAATATCTATAAATCAAGCTGTCGTAAACAGACAGATCTTTTCACACAGTTAATTACCTTAGTATTTACAAGACAGGTGCTTCAACCAGCTAAGCTATGGAGCCTGACTACCTTAGTATTTAAATAAAAGTTATTCAGTAATGACTTTCAGAAGGGTCAGCCATAATATTCAGATGTTGTTAGAGTTGAATATTTAACTTTTTCTTTCAGCTTGAATTATTTCTAGTGTTTAGGAAATAAATAAAATGTGGCTACTCCTGTTTACAGTAGTCTACCTACGTGACCCCAAATCTGCTCCAGCCCTTTAAGTGTAAACTGTTTTGAATTTTTAAAAATAATTTATTTACTTTTCCTGGAAAATAAATGTTGAATAAGTACACTAGAAATCTTTTTAGAGGCTAGGCTAATTGATGCATGAATCTGTTGATAAGAGCCAGTAGTAGTGGAATTTACTGTTTTACGGAATGCACATTTTTTTCTGTCCATTTGATCTACAAAGTGATTATTGCTTTGTTGAGATTCCCACTAACATCAGACTCATCTCACTTCTTCCGGTTCTGTGAACAGATTAAGTTGTAACGATAAGACTAATATTTTTACACATGGTTCAGTTTAGCATTATGGTCACTGAACTTCTGATGGTTACTATTTAGTCCTTTCTATGCAAAAACTAGAAACTTGACATTCTGCTCCCTCAGAATATGGGCCATTGTAATTTTGCTCTTACCACTCATTTGACTTTATGTGCATTTTTAATAACTGTATCTTGGTTCTTTTCAGGTAAATAAAAATGTCCAATTTACTGCCCAGGAACTTTATGAGTGTGTTTCACAGACTGAGTATCGGTAAGTCATCTCTGTGTAGATGTATCAGTGTAACAAGCTTTTACCATATACAACACCACTTGCTCGGGGTGCTGAAGGGTTCTTTTCATGTCTCCATTACTCTGTGATTTTTTTGATCCTTTGAGGTATGAAATATTTCATACATACACAAGAGCTATGTATGTGTATGTACATACATAGCACATTTAAGGTTTAAAGTGGTTCAAGTGGCTCTCAAGTTTTGGGGCATTAAGAGTACTTTAATTTTTAAAAAATATTGAAGACCCCTAAGAACTTATATGGGTTGTATCTATCTCTATTTGCTGTATTAGAAATTATAATTGAGAAATTTAAAAATGTTCATTTAAAAGTAATAGTACCTAATTAATTACATGTTATGATGAGTAACATAAAATTATGAAAATAATGTTTCCCAAACAAAATATTACTATCAAGAGTGGCATTGAACATTTTTGCATATCTCTTAATGACTGGCTTAATAGAAGACAGATGGGTTCTTGTAGCTGCTTTTGCATTTAGTTTCTTTCAATAATCCCATGTTATGTATTGGTGGAAAACTATTGTACACTCTCATAAGACTGAGAATTCAAAAGACAAATCACGTCTGAGTCTTACTATGAAAATAGCTTTGCCCTCACAGACCTTTGAAAGAGTATATTTCCCAGACTATGTTTTGAAGAACAACTGGTGTAAAGAATATTCATTATGCCTTTCATTCAGTTGACAAAATAGACCTTTACCCACCCCTGTTTCTTTCCTCCCTTCCATCCTCTCTCTAGGGGAAGATATATATAAATAAATGTATTTAAAATTGTTTTATAGCATTCATTAGTAACAAGAAAAAATAGTGTAAATCTGATTCTTGTATACACAGGGTATAGGTGTGAAGCCCTCCAATCCTGGGCCCAGGCAAACAGATTCATGAGGGGCAAAAACCCACTTAACCCTTTCAGGGTTGCTCTGCAGTCAGCCTACCCCAACCCATATTCTTTTTTAATTCAACATTGAGATTCATCCATGTTGACGCATGGGGCAATAGTCAGTTTACAGTCAGTTCTATTATAACATGACATATGTGTTCCTAAGTATCATTACTGCACTATGCAAAACCATGCAATAAAAGCCACAGATCTTATGGGGAAAATGGAATTGGGGGTACATCACTCAAGAACTTAATAAGGGACAATGTTACAAACAAAGGTAGGAACCTAATCAAAACAGTATCACAGTTATACACATGTTAAATGGTTAAGAAATATATGTAAGTGCCATAAATTAATCTAATACTTTACCTTGAGAAGGACCTGAAGTTTGCTTGCAGAAGTGGTCATAGGAAAAGTTGCAGCTTGTGGGTTAGTGCGATGTGGTAGAAAGAGGGTTATCTGAAATTGGATGTAAAGTTGTAACACCAAATGTGAATTCATGTGGCTCTTAGCACAGGGAAACCTGAGGTGGCTGGTATAGGTTTGAAATGTGTGCATTGTATATATTCCTAAGCGTTTTGTTCAGCTGGGTGCAGTTTTCTCTGTTCATGTAACATTTCTCACTGCTGAAATCCTGTATGAGAAAATGTGAAATTTTTTTTGCGTGCTCAAATTGTTCCTTGATGTGTCATTGGTGTTGCAACAAATTCTTGTGTTCAAAACAAGAGCTGCAGCAGAACTGAGTGGAGAATATGCCACTGTATCACTAAGCCAGTTTGACATGTATAATTTGCAGGTATATTTGGGTAGCTACAAAATTTTATGAGCAGGCATAGTGACAAAGTTAACTATCAAGGTGTTTGTACTGTTAAAACTCTAGATTGATAAATATATTTGATATCAAGACCCTAGGATTGATAATCACAAATGTTACTAATTACAGCTATGAAATTCACTCACTCATTAGATTAAAATAAGTTTCCTAAGAAAATCTGAAGCCAGTGGGGCCTGCATCATCTGTTGTAGCTGAGGGTAAAAATGACTTTTTACACTAATCTTCAGACTATCAATCAGTGACACTCTTATTTATAGATCTTTACAGTTAAACTGCATTTAAAGGATTGTGTACATGAGATTTGTATCAAAAATATAATGTTTTCCAACCTTGGCCATATTTTTGAAGGTGTAGAAAGCTCAGTTGGAGGGCAGAGTCTTTTGCAGGATGGTTCCAATCAGATGTCTAAAATTATTTTGACTCCACCTACTGTTGAAATACTTAGGAGGTTTTTTTTTTGCAGGGTGGGGGGGGCTAAGAGCTGCAGGGGTAAAACTTGAATGTTCACAGTTAAAGTAATAGTACTTATTTTTCTTTTCTTTGTTTTCTTTCTATGTAATAATGCCAGGGATTTGAACTATAATAGTAATTAATAAGCTTCCCCTTATACCCCAAAAGGATGATTTAAAATATGTCTAATAGCTTAAATGCATTGAAAAATGGCAACTGCTGTTCCACAGACTTACAGTTAATAAGTTTTGTATTTGTTACTCTGTTGTTTGTTTTGAAATTGTTTGCCATATTTACAGTGAATGATACTACCCATATTAGCCTGTGGTGCACTCCACAGCTCACAATTTTCAAATAAGCTGCTAGAAGAGAGTTCGTCTGGTTTCAATAGTTCATACTAGACACAGAGCCAAATGCAATAGATAAAGGGTGGCAGAGTTTTCCTGTGACTCAGAGGTGAAAACAGAAGAGTGATTTAGCTTGGGAATGTTAAGGAAAACAGTTACTTACATTGTCTGAATTTGCTAGTCTTTGTTTTTGATTTATAAAGTGTTAGTTGTGAAGGAGGAGATTGTTGATGTGCTCAACACCGTATTTATTGCAATAGGGAGGAAATGAAGTAGCTCAAGAATATAAAACTATTTTATAGATTATAATAAAGCAAGTAATTGAGGTTTCAGATTGAAAGTAGCTATGATCAAAAATTGAATTCCATGACACAGTAGAACGTTGGTGTTTATATCTGTAAATCAGTTAGTGTTTTCTGTCTTCTGTAGTTTGTAGATCCTTTGTCGTAGCTTTTGCTCTTGCCAGTGGGGTCTGAGCGCTGCTTACCCTGAGAAGACGAGGAGTTTGCTTGGAAAATCCAGGATGGTAAATTAACTTGATTATCAAACAGATTACCAAACAGATATCTTGTGTGATATCTTCTGTATATGTGAGAAATGAGGAATAGTATTTGATTCACTTTGTTTGCCCTGTGAATTCTTGACAGAATGTTCTGACATGTTCACAAGACAAGTCTCTAAGGTCATTTTTTCTATGTGAAATGCACCTTAGTTTGTGACATCAGGTTCATAGAGTACTGGCATACCCAGGTAATACGCTGCCTAAGCCTTGCAGGTCAGGAGCTACCCGCTTTTCCTTGGGGCAAGTGCTTTCAGGAATTACTGTTTTCTGTTTCCTGGAATCAGCTCCATGGTAGTATCTTCGAGATTACATTAGAGCTGTGGCTCTTTATGTGTGGTTCCTGGGCCTTCGTGTCAGCATCACCTGAGAACTTGCAAGAAATGCAGACTCTAAGGCTCTAGCCCAGGCCTTCTGAATCAGACACTCTAGGGGTGAGCCCAGCAGTCCGTTTTAACAGTCCCTCCAGGACACACTGAAGTTTGAGAATCCCTGCATTTAATTAAGACCTAGACTGTCCAAGAAGCCTTAGACAGAAAAAAAACCTTATAAAAAAACAAATCTAAAAACTAAACTTAGACCTTTGATGTTTCTGCTTTAATTAGAAAAGAGTTACATTATTTTCAGTGTCTGTAGATGCAATATACTTTGCAGGAAATTTGACTTTGTTATCATTATTCGTGATAAAAGATATTACAAAATAAGCATGTATACTTTTTTCTTTTTTAAATTGACATTAAATTCATATAATATAAAATTAATAGTTAACCACTTTAAAATGTACAGTTCCGTGGCATTTAGTGCATTTGCTCTGTTGTGAAACCGTCACCTCCATGTGGTTCCAAGATATTTCTGTCACCCCAGTAGGACATTTCATAGCCATTACGCAATCACTCTCCGTTCTCCCCTCCCCCAGACCCTGGCAACCACTTACCTGCTTTCTGCCTCCGTGGATTTATCTATTCTGAATGTTTCTTACAAATAGAATCACACAACATACGACCTTTTGTATCTGATTTCTTTCACTTAGCATAATGCTTCTGAAGTTCATCTACAGTTGTAGCATGTATTAGTACTTCATTCCTTTTTATGGCCAAACAATGTTCCATTGTATGTATATACCACATTTGTTTATTCATTCATTGATGGACATTTGGGTTGTTTCCACATTTTGGCTGTTGTGAATAGTGTTGCCAGTTGTGCACAAGTATTTGTTTGAATTCTTTCAATTGTTTACAATTTTGGAGGGGGTTATATACCTGAAAGTGGAATTCCTGGGTCGGATGGTAATAATATTTAACTTTTTGAGGAACTGCCTGTTTTCACCATTTTACCTTCCTACCAGCAACGTACGAGGGTTCCAGTTTCTGCCCTCTCTCTTGACATTTATTGTGTCCCTTTCTTATTGTAGCTGTTCTGAGGAGTGTGGTGTTCTGTCTCCCTGGGATGTTTTATTTGTATTATTTCCTTAGTCACTGCTGATGTTGAGCGTCTTCTCATGTGCTCGTTAGCCAGTTGCTTTTCTTCTTTGAAAAGAACGTCTTTCTAAGGTCTTTGCTCATTTTTAATTTCTGTTGTTGAGTTACAAGAATTCTTTATGAGGAGTTTCCTCCAGGCCAGAGCCCTGTGTGCGATCTTTGAGACCTGCCTGACCGTCAGCAGTTACAAGGCTTTACTTGGCAGGCTCCGTGGAGGGAAGCTGCCCTCTCCGTGCCAGATTTGGTACGTAGGTCGCATATTATAGTCTTCCATGGGGAGCTGCAGGCAACTCTCAGGCCCTCTGCCGCTAGGCAGCCAAGCTCACTTGCGTGTCTGCATTGCTAGCCCAGGCAGCTCCATTTGGAGGCTTCCTTATTGGAGGCTTTGGCTGAGGCGCCCCCTAGTCA